CGGTTCAGATCCTACAGAATGCCTTAGGCACTAGATTGACTTTTAGTACCGCCTATCGTTCTCAAACTGACGGGCAATCAGAGCGTACCATTTAGATCCTTAAAGATATGCTTCGGGGTTGTGTTCTAGACTTTGAGGGGTCGTGGGAGTGGCACTTGCCTTTAGTGGAGTTTACCTATAACAATAGCTTCCAGTCGAGTGTTGGTATGGCACCGTTTGAGGCCTTGTATGGCCGACCGTGTAGATCTCCAATGTATTAGGCCGAGGTGGGTGATGCACGTATGACAGGTCTAGAGTTAGTCTGGGAGATGACAACGAAAGTTATACTTATCCGTAAGAGGTTGATTATGGCTCAGAGTCGTTAGAAAAGCTACGCCGACCGTAGGAAGAGACCATTATCCTTTGAGGTGGGAGATCATGTCTTCTTGAAAATATCACCTAGACGGGGTTTGATAAGGTTTGGGAAGAGTGGAAAATTGTCTCCTAGATTATCGGACCTTTTGAGATCTTAGAACGGATTGGAGAGGTAGTTTATTATTTGGCCTTGCGATCATAACTTTTCAGAGTTCATAACGTGTTTTATATTTGTATGCTCTAGAAGTATGAGTTGGATCCATCACACGTGTTGGACTGGATGGAGCTAGGGATAGACGAGGATGCCTCGTATGAGGCGAGAGCAGTTAGAGTTTTAGATACTCGAGACCAAATCTTACGAGGCAAGACGATTCATTTGGTAAAAGTGTTGTGGCGACACCACGAGGTTAGGGAGGCCACTTGAGAGCATGAGGTGGAAGTCTGCAAGAAGTATCCAGATCTATTTGTTGATGTTTGAATATGTATTAAGAATCTTGTCTTGTTAATGTAATATAAACATTGTATATGTTTGGAAATGTGAATTGTATATTCAGTATCGGGAACTTGTTTATCATGGTTATAAGAGGAATGACCGGTGGATGGGCCATGGGGATGAATTTGATTTATTATCATTGTTGAAATTGGTTTAAACATGGTTTTGACGTTTAATTTTAAATTTCGGGGACGAAATTCCTTAAAGGGGGGATGTTATAGCTATTCTAGTTTAGACCCGATCTGTTGATGTTTTGGATTCGGATTTCATTGTCTTATATAGTTGTCCTTGTCTTGTTTCCCCTTATTTCTCTTTGAGTTTGGCTATTGGGAGGTTTTGGTTGCGTTTGGAACAAGTTAGTAGCTTGTTTTTCAAACTATTGCTGTCCAAAATTCTGCTTCTTCGTTTGACCGTCGCTCGAGTAGTCTTTATGAACTTCTAATACTTTTGCAGGTCTGCAGAGATACTGGGAGTTCGCATTTTTCGCTCGAGCGGTGTTGGCTCGAGCGGCTTTTGTTGAGCTAAAGTGGTGGTTTTCTATCTGCAAAACTTCTGGGAGTATGAATTCTTCGCTTAAGCAGTGATTCCTACACTCAAGCGGTCCCATGTTTTTGTGTCTAGACACTTGAGTGACACTTCTTGCGCTAGAGCGATCTGTGCGTATATCAGTTCGCAAGGTCACTTTTCACATCTCTCTCTCTCTAAACTTTTTAAACCCCTATATCTACACTCTCTCTCTCTAAAACTCTGCTTCTCTACACAAATACACTTAGATCCATCGAGTTCTTCACCCATGTCCCTTTGTTAAAAGGTGGAGCACGCCATAGGCTTTCTTTTGTTCCGAATGAAGTTGGGTTTAGGCGTTGTTGGAGTCCTTTCACTCTTTCTCTTATCTTCTAAGCTTGAGGTAGGGATTTTTCCGCACTCTAATATGATTTTTAACTTAGATACTTGCTATTTTCTAAAATAACACTATGATTTTGGGATTTTTGGACAAACCTAGGGTTTTGGGTTAAAAATCAAAAGAGGAGTTTTCAAATGGGTTCTTGGAAATGATTGTGGTGTTGAAAATAAAGTTGAGTCGTGACAAAATGGTTGGTTTTGATCCTTAGGATTGATTTTGGAAGCAAAATGGACTTTTGCTCTAATTGTCTCAAATGTTGATTTTATATAAATAATGAAATTAATGTTGGAAATGTAGAATTTGGTTGTTATTGGTGAAGATGGTGGAGTTGGATATGTATTATCATTCACATCTTGAAATTTGAAAAGTTTATCTTTATTGAAAATTGTTTTTCTGTTTAGAAATATTTGTTTTGGGCTATCGTTGGAGGATAACTATGATTGGTGTAGAAATTACATGAGAATTAGGGGAATTAAAACTAATTTCTCATCCATTTGCATTGAGCATTGTTGTAAGTTTATTTCATGGAAAATGTATGTTATTTTGAGAATATGGATGAATCTAGAAAGGAATTGTTGTTACATCAAGTAAGTTGGCCTATGTGTCTAGGCTGAAAGTCCCAAAAATCGCGCATATACATGGGTGTTGATCCCGCGGACGAAATATCCGTAAAATGGCAATAGTAGTGCTTGTATAGCCTACGTTTACATAGGTGCCGGTTTGCGGTTTCTTGTGAATGAAATTTCTGTGAAATGTGATACTTGTTTTGGAGATTCCCAGAGATATGATTCAGTGTCCTGTTTTCCATTGAAAAGAGAATGTTTTATAAACTGTGATATAAACTTGTCATTGCATGGTTTGAAAGATATATAAAATGTTTTGTCACTAGCATTGCATATGCATTTCACCCTTATATCTCTATTAAGATTCATATATTGTGTTGGATTATTTTTACTGGGTTTTGGCTCACCCTATGTGGGAAAAATATTTTCAGGTGTTGATGATATGCCTTCGCCAAGGCAATAGCTTGGGAGGACTTGGGGCAAGAGTTTTATTTTGTTTGATTATTGTATATGTTTTATGCAAGCCAAGGGCCTTTAACTGTATTGGATATAAATTCACCTTTGTTGTAACCAAGCATCATTTTAAAAAATTGTAAACCTTTAGGGCATTTTTTATTTGCTTGATGTTTATTCTAGTATGTAACATACGCTATAGATTCAGGGATATGCTTCTGAATGTATATCTGTATATGTTACTCTTTTGTAAACTTATTTGGAAACTAATGAAAGATAATTACTTTATCATTGTTGTTACTTATTAATATTGTGAATGGGTTATTCTATTTATTTTCGGGGTGTTACACGATAATACTCATTATGTGACATTAAATATGAACCCACTTGGACCCATCAAAATTAACGCTTGGATCCCACCTTAATTAATACTCAAAGTTAGCAAAAAATAAGATTTATAAAAACCATTTTCCAACATTTTACTCCTAAAGTTAACTTTTTAAAAAAAATATAGAAAATACCATGTTAATTGTTACATAATATAAAAAAATATATTATTATATTAGAATTTGGATTTATAACAAATGTGTGAGTTATATATATATACATAAAAATATTTTTATGTAACGTGGCTATCAATGTGTCATTTTCTATCTACTTTTATACATAAGTTATGTTTTGGAGGAAATTGAAATATGAAGGGTCAAAATGAAAAAAAATAAAATAAAAGTTAAGATAAAAAAATAATCAAACATAAAATGAGCAAAATATAATTTATCCAGAATAAAGTTAGCAAAAAATAAGATTTATAAAAACTATTTTCCAACATTTTACTCCTAAAGTTAACTTTTTTAAAAAATTATATAGAAAATACCATGTTAATTGTTACAAAATATAAAAAAATATATTATTATATTAGAATTTGAATTTATAACAAATGTGTGAGTTATATATATATACATAAAAATATTTTTATGTAACGTGACTATCAATGTGTCATTTTCTATCTACTTTTATACATAAGTTATGTTTTGGAGGAAATTGAAATATGAAGGGTCAAAGTGGAAAAAAATAAAATAAAAGTTAAGATAAAAAAATAATCAAACATAAAATGAGCAAAATATAATTTATCCAGAATGATATGGTACTGATTGTGAGTAAATAGATGGATTAGTTTGTTAGATGTTAATATAGGAAGGGACAACTCAAAAGGTATCAAGCTTCTCTTCATGCAATTTTAATTCCCAATCTTACACTACTAAATATTGTTACACAAACATTAAGGTATAGACTCTTATTTTAAGAGCAGTGGTATAATTTATCCTTTATTAAATAATTTTTTTTTAACTAAAAAGTGGGGCGTAAGAATAAAAAATGAAAAAAAGAAAAACATAAAGCACTTTCATTAATTTCAAAATAGTTTTAATTGAATTTGTATTTTTAAATAACTTTTTCTTATCTTTTCAAAAACATTATTTACACAAAATTTAATATTAACTAATGTTATATGAGCATTTGTTAGCAATGCTAACACAAAATAAATAAATAAATTGTTAGGTGTATGTTTGCCCACGCGTGAAAAAAAATATATGTATATATTCTCAGTATATGTCATTTTTCATGCGATAGTTTTGGTTAAAAAAAATGAATAATGTTAGATTTTATAAAACAAATACTATAAAAAAATTATGATTTTTTTTTTTATTTAATTAGTTTATGGTATTTTATTATATGTGTAATCTAATAATAAAGAATCTTTATAAAAAATTTCATTATATTTTTTTCTTAAAATCTAACATTACTCTAAAAAAAAATTATAAACCATATGTGTGAGTCAATTTTGACCCTTAACTGCTAAATAAAAGTAAGTCTACATTTTTCACTCATAATATTCTTCACCACATAAATAATGTCATCGGATGCTTCAAGGCTACTCAATAATGTCGGGTAATCATGATTTTGATGTAAGTTACGGCTGTGTTTGATAACTTAATTTAATATTTATGAAATTAAAATTAATTTAATTTATTTAATAATTATAAACGATATCATTTAAAAATTTAAATGGCACTTAAAATATAGGGAAAATTGGCCTAAGGTCCCTCCTCTACTTTTGATATGAGGAGAGGTCATTTATAATATGTTTTGATGGCTAAGGTCCCTCAAATTTATTTTAGGTTATAAAGTACCTAAATTACCCTTCCTTTATAACATAAATTTGTTTGAATATTATATGGTTGAGTTAACTGATACATTTTGGAAACCGAATTTGAATGGGAGATTTTGTCGGAGTTTTCGTCGGAGATTTGAGTGGAGATTTTATGGTGGAGATTTCTTCGGAGATTTCAGTGGAGTTGACGAGGAAGATTGCTACGACCGTGTAGATTTTGTTGGAGATTTCGTCGGAGATTTCAGTGGTGTGATAGTGTATTGATCGCGTAGATTTTCAGTGGAGTTGAATCAGGTTTGTTTTCGATGGAGATAGCACATGCATTTTGATATTTGTTTTGAATTTTTGTGTAGAGAGAGGCCAGCTTGATAGAGTTGATTTTTATGTGTTGATTTTGGCGAGGGTATTTTGGTCCACAAAATAATTAAAAACGCGCGCCAAGTTGCTTCAGGGACGTGAGGCATCACTATCTTTTTGTGTGTCCTTTAGCCTCTAAATTGTTATTATTAGGGACCTTAAAAAAAAATCCCCTAAAATATAAGTTAAAAATTTTAAAAAAATTAAATGATAAAAAACTTACTTAATTCTTATTAAATTTATAAATATCTGTACATAAATATCAACATATACTATTATAACCTTACAATTGCCGCATCACAAGCACCATCATCACTACTGCCACTACCTCCACCCCTCACCAGTATCTCCAACCACCACCTTCATCACCATTGTTATTATTATCATAAGGATCACTATCATTCCACCACCACAATAACCACTATCATTATACCACTGCCGCCGCCCCTATTTTTATCTTCACTACATTATTATTATTGGCATTATAAGCACTATTATTGCCTCCACCACCACTAACTCACTATCACAATATAAAATTTAAAAATAATAAGTTTTAAAATTAATATTATACATATCAAACAACTTATTTTAAGTTCAACACTTAAATTTTTATCAAATAGTTTTTTATCTTAAAAAATTCAATATTCAGTTTTCATTATCAAACAACCTTTTACTTACAAAATTTAGCATTCAATTTTCAGTATTTAATATTTTATTTTTTATTTTCAGTTTTCGGTTTTATCAAATACCACCTAACTAACCTATTATTAATTATGACAATTAATGATTGATAATAATATAAAGGATAAAATCATATATAATCCTTAAAGTATGTACTTTTGTCATTTTGGTCTTTCAAGTTTCAATTTTGTTAATTTCAACTTTAAAGTTTTCAATTTGAATTAATTTGATCCAATTTTAAATAGACGGTCTAAATCATTAACATAATGGTAATAAAATATACACACACCTTAAATTATATGTTTTGTGTCACTTTAGTTTCTATAGCTTTTAGTTTTGTCAATTTGATCCTGAAATATTGATGAAAAGAAATAAAACATAACATTATAATATTGAAGGACGAAATTGACAAAATCGATATTTTAGGAACTAAAATGACATAAAACATATATTATAAAGACTCTGTGTATTTTATTACCATTCCGTTAACGATTTAAACAGTCTCTTGGAATTAGATCAATTTGATTCAAATTGACAATTTTAAAGACAAAAATGACAAAATTAAATTTGAAGCATTAAAATAACAAATAACACATACCTTAAAGACTAAAGCTGCCTTTTATCCTAATCCTAATATAAATGTGAGTCATTTTCATTTTGCTATGCTAGAAAATTGGCCTTAACGGATCAGCAATGCAATACAGATAAATTTGTGGATTTTATTTATTTATTTTTTGTGTGGATTTTCCTATCTAATATCTTTTTCAAACAGACTTCTCTCCGAATGGAGAGTGCTATTTGGGCTTGTAAAGTTCATCATATGTCTCATTTTGATGATTTGAACCGTTGTAAGTCATAGTGTTTAAATTACTTATAAAAAAATTAAACCACTCCAATAACTGTAGCCGTGCTATTTTATGGCATTTATTTGCACACAAAGAATAAATAAATAAATAAAATAAAAATAAAAAGAATAATAAATATTATTTAAAAACTAAACCATATATTTTTCAAGAAACAAATGCGACGCAACTATAATTATCTGATTAATCTTATTTTTTTTAAGATAATATACATGTTGTGATCTAAAATATGAATAGATCAAATTATCAATTTGAGACCCAAGATGGGAGCTGAAGAATCTTCTCCATTTTGTTTCCAATGGTTGTGTGGCAAACAATTAAGTGCTTATTTAGAAAATGCCTAAAAAAGCAAAACTCCGAAAAGCCATAAGTAGTTCACTTGTGGGATTGGGAAGAGAAGAAATAAGCAAAATGCTCTTTCGTAAAATTACCTAATTACCCTCATGGGTAAAATGGGAAAATGCGAATTCTTTCCCATGGTTATAAAATTTTTCAATATGAAAAAAAAAAAAAACATATACGCAATTGTCAAAAACCTAATAAAATAAAAATAAAATAAAATAACAAATAAGCAAATAAACAATAAAATACGCAATCCTCAAACAAGGCGTAAGTGAAGTGGTGGTTGTATTAGAACTTTTTGTGGTGTATCTTATTTTATCTATACATTAGCTATTGACACATAAACTGCGTGCATAATTAAAATCAATAAAAATTAAATTAAATTTTTACTATATATGATAGGTCATGCAAGTGGTAAAAGTTTTATTTATTAATTCAAAATTTAAATTTTTTATTTATTAATTCAAAATTTTAAGGTTCGAGTCGTACTTTAAGGCAAAATGCAATCATCCAAATAAAAAAAATCTGGAGTGGATAAATCGGTTCCCACAATTCTTTAATGGGCAAGGATTTTCTAGAGTTTTTTTTTTCTAAAGTTTCTTAGAGTGGTGTGTTGTATGGTTGAGATTTAATGACAAGTCACATCAATTTTTTAGCATTAAATCTCACCCATACAACACACCACTTTAAAAAACTTTAGGAAAAAAAAACTCTAGAAGATCCTTGGTGCATAAAGAGTAGTTACCAAAGTTTGGACACTAAGTAAGTTGTTCACTTTTAATAATAACTAGTGGGTGGCACACACGATGTGTGCAATTTAAATAAGTAGGAATAAAAAAAAATAATAATGAAATTAATATTGTAATGTGTACTTAACTTAAGTGGTATGAGTCCTCGTACTTAAACCCATGGTCATGGGTTCAAGCTTTGCCCATCTCTTTGTTTAACATTTTTTTAAAAAATAAAAAATACTGCCACATGGCATGAGGAGAGTAAAGCTGAGGAGAGTAAAGCTTCAAGACACCATAAGAGGTGTTTACTTTATAATAGTATAGATAGATAAATATAGATAGATAAATCTTTTCATCTTACTTGAAAAAAAAAAAAAAAAACCAAAGAAACAAACAAACAAACAACAACAACAACAACAAGAAGAAGGCGTAAGTAAGGTGGTATTTATCTACATTACGACGAGGCGTGAGGAAGGCGTTATCTATCTACACTATTTACATAAACAAATGTAGTATCTTTTAAAAATGCTCCAAAAATCTATTTTTAAATTCTCATAATTTTAATATAATTTGTTTATAAAATAAAATGATGACAAACTATTTGAATTGCACTTGAACAAATATAACAAATGATAACTTTAATCATTATATACCAACAAAAAAATTATATACACTACCCAACGAACAAAAAGTCGAATCCAACTAAAGTCATGGATATTGAATTAAATCGTATGGACTCAAATTGATACTATAATCTAGCAAATCAAATAATAATAATAGAGAGAGATCGACAATTATGTAGTACCTTCCTACCATTTTTGTATTCTATTCATTAATTTCATATATCAAATGAAAATATTACTCGTCTTAATTCTTTAATAAAATAAGCACCAAGAAAACAAATTTGATAAGAAATTAGTTTTAAATTTTATTATTTAAAAAATAAAAATTTCAAAGAGAGACTAATTGAATTGAGAGATGAGATTGAATAAAATATTATAACCAATAGCAACCTTATATATATATATATATAAAGAAGAAAATTGACATAGTAATCATCTAATTTAAACTATTTTAAACAATTAAAACAAAGAACATCAAATCATTACCTTAAATAAATATAGTGATGAACAATACTTTTCTTTGATTTTTGTGCCGCATCTTCCAATACAACCACCATCAGCCAAAAAAAAAAAAAAAAATTATCTCTACGAATTGATAGACAATAACCAATAAAAAAAAAAGTATGCTGAGAATATCCAGAATTTAAAAGGAGACAAAAATTTATAGGTAAGGACATTTTAGAAGATAAAAAATTAAAAGTAAAAAAAGAATAACACGTGATGAATAAGGACATTTTAGATAAAAAAGTTATAGATAAAGACATTTTAGATGTAGAAATGTTTCGGATAAATATAGATTAATAAATTGTATCTTTATCTAAATTTTTTTATTTTAATTTTTTTAAATTAATTATTTAATCTTTATCTTTATTTGTAAATCATGTAATTAATTTTTTTAAATTATTTATAATTTTTTATATGTTCATCTATGGGGAGAAACTTTAAAATTCAAATATTTATTTACAAGTCATGAAATTAATTTTTTTAAATTAATTATTTAATTTTTATCTTTATATGTAGACCATGAATTTAATTTTCATAAATTATTTATCAGTTTTTATATGTTCATCTATAGGGAGAAATTTTAAAATTCCAATCTTTATCCATAAGACATAGAATTAATTTTCATTTTAATTATTCAAATAGTTTGAAAATGAAGGAAATGGAAAATATGAAAGATAATCACACAAAGTTGTGAAAGAGAGAGTTTTAAAATTATAAAAATTTAATAATAGACTTTTGAATTTTTTTTTGAGAGAAAATGACATTTGCGCATATATATGCATTAATGTGGTGTATGTTGAAAAATAAATAAAATGCCTTGACGCATATTATGGTACAATAACTATTTTCATTTCACCATCTTTATTGAATGCTGACAACCTTTTGATAGAGACTATTGATCTGGAATGGTAACAGCATATACACGCCCAGTAGGTCTCTGTTCCACCTGCTCACCCCACGGAACATAAGACTGTTAAGTTGACTGAGCTGAAGAGGCTCCTTGAGTGGCCCTCGAGGCCTGTATCGACTGAGTAGGCTACTGGCTCTGTGTCTACCTCGAACCAGATGCACCAGGTGTGCCACCTGTCTGAGGGCAAAACCTCCTCAAGTGCCTCAGCTGTCCACACTAATAACAGGAAGGCAGTTGCCCTCTCCCTTGACTCTGGCTCTGTGAACGAGCCATAAACGGTGCAGATTGCTGCCCTTCTTCTCTCTGCTGGCAAACTAGAGACTTGTGGCCCATCTAGCCACACTTAAAGCAAGTGATCCCATCCTGACTTCCTCTTCCTAAATCGAAATTCGGAACAGGAAATGTGGATCTAAACTGTGCTGTTTCATACTGCTGTGGTAGTGGAACCCATTTGCCTCTTGTTGTCCATCCTCTCTCCTTAAACCTCCTAACTCCTCTGCCTGGAGCCCCTCATCTTCTCATCCTCAGTCTGAATCACAGTCTCTAAATGAGCCACTGTCTCCACAAGACGATTGTAATCCCTAATCATAAACCCGACCACCTTGAATAGGAGCCTGCAGCTTACTTTTCGTGCTCCTCAGAGGGGTTGTGATGACCCAAATTTTTTTTTTTTTTAAAATAGTCAGTGCAGAATTTAAAATTTTAGTTTTGAGTGTTTGGACCATGATTTGAGAAAATAGAAAATAGTAAAAACAAAAAAAAAAAAGAAAAGAAAAGAAAAGAAAAGAAAAGATGAGATGTTACAGTCAAGGAATTTTGGGGGGAAAGAGAAAGCAAAGAGAGGGTGGAATATACATGATGATGTTTTCGATGGCGGGAGATTTTTTGATTTTTTGATGGTGGAGAATGATTTATTTAAGAAAGAGATTGAGGGGGAGTGAATGATAAAATAAAGAGGAGGTGCTGGAGTGCAGTTCAAAAGGTGCTTGGCCTTTCTCAACAGCAGACCATGGATGGCCTATCTTTGACTGCACAGCTGAAGGATTAAAAGCTGCTCTACTATTATCAAAACTGCCATCAGACATTGTTGATGAACCACTAGATGCAAAACGGTTATACGATGCTGTAAATGTCATTCTTTCTCTACAGAATAGCAATGGTGGCTTTGCAACGTATAAACTCACAAGATCCTATAGTTGGTTGGAGCTGCTCAACCCTACCGAAACTTTTGGCGATATTGTTATTGATTATCGTTATGTGGAATGTACCTCAGCAGCAATTCAAGCTTTGACATCATTTAAGAAATTATACCCCGGGCATCAGAGAGAGGATATAGAAAAGTGTATTAAAAGAGCTGCTATATTCATTGAAAAGATACAAGCACCAAATGGATCATGGTATGGCTCTTGGGGAGTTTGCTTTACCTATGGCGCATGGTTTAGGATAAAAGGGCTGGTCGCTGCTGGAAAGAACTACCATAACAGTTTGAGCATTCGTAAGGCTTGTGATTTTCTGTTGTCTAGACAGATTGTTTCTGGTGGTTGGGGAGAGAGTTACTTTTCATGTCAGGACAAGGTGTATTTGAATCTTGAGGGCAACAGGTCTCATGTAGTCCATACTGGTGGGCTATGATGGCTCTCATTGATGCTGGCTAGGCCGAAAGAGACCCAACACCATAGCATCATGCAACAAAAGTATTAATAAATTCTCAAATGGAGAATGGAGATTTCCCGTAGGAGGAAATCACTGGGGTATTCAACAAAAACTGCATGATAACTTACGCAGCTGTAGACACCCCATTTTTGACCGACCTTAAGACTCAGACGTCACCGATTGAGCGCTCGGTGATGGTGCATATTGTGCTCGTTCAGAGGTTTCAGAGTCTCGGCTGCGAGCCTTGCCTCCGGACTTCCGGACTCTTTCATACTTTGCCTCGGTTTGCGAACCAGGCTCTGTTTTCTCTGTTTTCTCTTCCCGAAGGGAGAGAGAGGTCTCGTAGATCATCTCTCAGTGGCCGTAGGCTACGTTTCGTGGTCGTAGGTCATTTTGCCCGTTGGAGTCCGGTTTCCGATTTTTCGGAGCCGTTGGCCGTGTGCCTTGGTTCGGGACCGCATAACCACCTCCATTTGCTCCGGTTTTTGGCATGCATCTTATTTGCTACCTTTTGAGGGACACTGTGGCTCGAGAGACCAACTTCGTGGTCGAACACCACTTCCGGTGCCTAACAGTCAGTTTTCGGGGCCTCGGGCTGCGCGTTTCGGCCCCCGAACCTTCATTTTGCATCGGTTTGGGCTCATTTTTGGTGGAGACCTTGTTTTCACTGCTAAGAAGGTCGTAGAAGGGTGGGAGGCCAGTAATTGTTCTAACAACCAGTTTTATTCCTCCATTGCCCTCTGTCGCTTGTTTTTTTCACTTGAAAGCCAATGTTGACCACCCTAAGGCCACTTTTTCCAGCCCTAAACCACATATTTGTGTTGTACACACCTGGGAGGCCACTAATATCACATGGCCGGCCAGTAATTGTGTGTGACCCTTTTGAACCCCTCCTAAAAGTGGCATTTTCTCACTCCTAGTTCATTCTCTCCAGTTTTTGACCACATGGTTGTGTTGTGCACACATGAGAGGCCCTCCTTTTGGCATGGCCGGCCATTAATCTTCATTGACCCTTTTGACCCTTGGCCGGCCGGCCATGGGGAAGGCCGACCGGCCACCTAAACCCTAGGAAACCGGCCGGCCATGATCCTCTCTCCAGGTACTTTACAGAAATACCCTCTGTTTCCTCCCAGATTTTGTATCCGGGGGGGCCAACTTTTGGGGGGAATTACAAATATGTATTCTGTTTCCCCCCAGATTTTGTATCCAGGGGGCTGCACTTTTGGGGGGAAACTTGAATTCCTTTCCCCTCCTTTTTTCCCCCCTTTTTTCCCACACTTTTGCCTATATATCAGGCCCTCCAGCTCCCATTTGAGGGGTTACAAAAAATTGCTTTGAGGCTCTTGCATTGATCCTCCCTCTCCTTCCCTTCCAAGCACCAAAACCTTCCAAACCCTACACCATTTCTACACCACCACCTAGCACCACACCACCACCATCCATTCCAGCCACTTGGAGCTTTTTTCCAGAGCTAAGGAGCCACCAAACTTGGTCCAAGAGTTGTCAAAGATTTGGTCTTCAAGGGTAAGTCTTCTCCTCCCTCTTTCTTGCCGTATTTTGCTCAATATATTAGCCATACTTTCTTGCATATTTGAGCTCCGAACCTAACTGAAAATAGCATTATTTTGAGGTATTTTTCATGTTTGTTTAAGGGCCTCTCCCTGTTTTAGGCTTCCTTTTTGCACTTGCTTCTTTACCTCTCTTGTATGCCTCTTTCTTGCATAGTATTTAGGCCTATTTGTAAACTGTTTTGGGCTTGGTTATAAATTGTAAAATGGATTATTTTGAGCCCTTATTCAATATTGTTGAAGGGCTCTTTACTGTTTGAGGCTTCCTTTTGTCACTTGCCTCTTTATCCCCCTTTTGGCCTTATTTTTGCATGTTTTGTTAGCCCCTGGTACTTGTATTTTTGGGCTCTGGTCTAAACTGTAAATAGCCTTATTTTGACCCCCTCTTCATGTTTGATCAAGGGACCTTCGCTGTTTGAAGCTCCCTTTTTTCTCTTTGTGTTTAAACCTCTTTTTAGGCCTTATTTTGCATAGTATTTTAAGCTTGCATGTGCACTGTTTTGGGTTTGGTCACTAACTGTAAAATACCATGTTTTGGGCCCCTCTTCAACTTTGTTGAAGGGACCTCCTATTTTTGAGGCCAGCAACCATCACTTGCCTCTTTGTCTCCCTTTTGGCTCATTTCTTGCACAATGTTTTAGGCCTGTTTGTATTTAGATCTGTGGCTTGTTGTAAACTGTAAAGTGCTTCATTTTGAGCCCCTATTCAATTTTGTTGAAGGGATCTTTTCCATTTAGGGCCAGAAGATGCCACTTGCTTCATTACCTCTCTTACGGGGCCATTTTTGCATGCTAGCTTAGTCCTATTTGTGTCCATTGTTTGGCCTTGCTTAAAACTGTAAATATGCTTGTTTTGGGACTGTCTTGATTCTGTCTTCACACTTCATGTTCGAATAATGCATGCTTTGTATGGCTATAGGCCATTGCGTGTGCCTAGTTTTGCGTTTCGGGTCTCATTTCATGCATCGGGTACCATATTGCCATGTTTCGGGGCTGTTTTGCATCATATTTTGGTACTGAAATTTGCATGCTTGTATGCCATATTCCATACCCTGCCATGTTTTGTTAGAGTGGCATTTGTGCCTTAGGATCGGTCCTCGGTTTGCGTGCACGTGTGCACGCATCTTCGAGTGTCCATTTCATCGTAATGCCTCCTATGTAAGTGCGGCTGAGGTCCACCACATTGGTGATAAGCCCATTATGCATTGTGTATGCCATTTCATACTTCCATAGCATTGTGTATGCTAGGCCGTTGTTAGCGCATTGTGTATGCCATGTTATCTCGGCATCATGTATGCCATTTCATAGCATTGTGCATCTACTGGTTAATATTAGTTGCATTCATGCATGTCATGCATATTGCATTGTGCTTGGATAGGAATTAGCCAAGCACGGGAAACGAGGGCGTTTCGTACTCCGAGTGACGAAACGTGTCTCAATTCCCGTCACCGGACACTCCGGATTATCCATGATGAGTCTAGGCCCTGTTGTGTTTTTCATGTGCATTCATTCATATTGAGTCATGCAATTCGTCTCCCGGCCATCATGCATCGAGATGCGTGATTGGTGGCACGAGGATCGATGACTACACTCCCTGAAGAGTAGTCATGCATACATATGTGAAATACTTTGCCATGCCCCTTGTTGCTCTCTGTTGCAGCAAATCAAGAAATCGACAGCCTTCGGAGCTTGGCACGCATCCCAAGACAATTGCAAACAGAGGCTAATTGGGGCATCGCAGTGGATTTCTGGCACAAGGCAACTCAAGCATGCATCATTCCATCATCCGGAGCAGAGTTGAGGCAGTCCTACTTGCATGCTAGTTTACAGCTTCCTAGTTTAATTTTAATATTAGGATTTTGTAATTATTTGGACTGTAATATTTATTCGGGACTGTATATTATTTATTCAGACCCTCTGCGACGAGGCAAAGTTGTAATAAGTGTGCGTGTGTGTGATGTATGTCTTCCAACCCCACGTCTTTCTCCCTTTTATTTACCAGCTTATGATGGTTAGATTAGGGCATGTTTCAATTAGCATACAGGTATGATAGCATGTTTGCATTCATTCATCTGTTTTGCATGCACCGGGCTCGGCGCATCATACTACTGCATTGTATTTTCAATTTCAAGTTGAATACATGTTAGCTGTAGCATTTCATATGCCATGTTTAAAATAGCCGAGCCTATCTTAGTTGCATTTTACATGTGTTTGCATTAGGCATTTTTGTATAGTTAGGATCATGCATGGATTCTAACCTAGATTTTGTTTTGGCTTGGAGTACTCGGTAAGTTTTATGCTTTAGCATCCTTGCATGCGTGTGAGTGAATGCCATGATAGCATGCTTACCATGAGGCTATGTGCTTATGTGATATAAACTGCCTGAATGCCTGTGGGTAAAGGTTGGGTTATTTAAATTGGAACAATTCATCAAAGTTGTGTTTTAAGCCCACTAGATAGTGGCAAAATCATGTTTTCTAAGCCCACTGAGGGTGGCAATCCACGTCTTAGCCTACTTGCGAGTAGCACCATCAAACCATTTTCAAACAAACAAACATGAAATGTTTTGTTCCAATTCAGGCGATCAGTCTATACTTGTATGCTGTGCGCATCACATAGTAAATCTAGGCTAATAACGGAATAAGAACGCATAATGTTTTCAAAAATAGATATCATGGTTAGTAGAGGCCGATCTTTGATCGAGCGAGCGGGGGTGCTCACGAAGTGACCTCCCCAATCGTACCCAAGTTCCCGAGCCGAGGCAACTTGGTGATGACGGACACGTGCCTTAGGCAACGAGTCAGGGTTTCCTAAATTTTTCAAAATAAAATTATTTAGGTGGCGACTCTGTATCTGGCAAAGCAGTCCATGTTTGGCACTTCTTTCAAAAATCTATTTTCTCAAAACGATTTGCCGGATTTGGACTCTTTGGTTCAGATTTAGAACCGTGAAAAATTTAGAGTCCTGAACTGTAGTGAGCCCAATATCGAACGGAACGGGGGACTCGTTCCTTCCGGGAGCGTTTGGGGACGTCTACAGCAGCATATAGAAACATATTCCCAATTTGGGCTTTGGGAGAGTATCGATGTAGGGTACTTCAGGCCTTCAGAAAAACTATAGTGAAGTAATCTCTTCCCATTCAGTGATTTTACAGCTAAAAGTTTTGGAATTTTATCAGAAAATAGAACCAGTGCCTTCTGCTTGCTTGGTCGCGCCTGTGATTAAGTTATTCGCGCCCATGATGTGTAGTTTGCACTCATGATGGTCTAGACTATAAATATAACCTCAGTCTGAGAGAAAAAGAAAAAAAAAATCTGTTTTGATCACTTTCCTTTTCTCTCTCTTCTATGTTCGCCATTTGAGAACATCCAAGCCTTTCCAACCTTGTTATCATTTAGTTTTAGTACAAATTCACCCCTAGTTCTTGAGGCCAAAAGCTAGAGCACGCTAAGGACAACGTTTTGATCATACTAGATCGCATTTTCGTACCACCGAGTTTTGGGTGTTCTTCCATTCTCTTCTAGCTTGAGATAGGGATTTTTCCTACATTTCTTTACGCA